CTACTGTTTGGCTGTTAGCTGATCTCCAGGAGCGAGATCCAAGTTTGAAATGTGAACAGCCCTGAGGGGTCCACAAAGCTCTTAAAGACCAGTGAAGTCTGTTCTTTTCTAAGTAGATTCCTGCCACTGAATCCAGGACCTTCTTATATGATCCCTTTCAGAGGACTCAGTAGTGAGAGTTGGTCGCCATCTAGTTCTTTCTATCTCAGAGTCATAGAGGCTGATGGTACATTAATTATTTCTTTCCCTCTGTGATTTCCTCCCATTTTCATTGCTCTGAGATGACTGCTCACAGCTATTAAGGCTCCCGCAGCTACGTGTCAAAGCACAATTCAAACCATCGTCATTGTGGGCAACGTTAGACCACTGAACTTAGCTGTCCGTAAGGCTAGTGACTCATCCTCGAGGTGTTTGGCTTTGGTTGCGTAACTTTACCTTCTCTTCTAAACTCATACACCTCGATATAGTTGCAGTGCATACAAATATGTATGCAGAACTATCCTTTCCCAAAAATGCCTGTGTGTGCGCCACCCCACAGTTGCTCCTTTTACTTACCTATCTATAGACTCGTGAATTATTGTTCGTTGTTTCCATTCTTGCAGAATTGTCTATGTAATAACCCTTACCATTATATTCCACCCAGGGACGACCTTTGCTTTGGTCAGCTCATGCTGACCTCCCTTTGCTGCGTACCGCCTTTCCCGTCACCCACGTTAATACACGGACACGATCTAGTCAGGGACCCTTTCCCTCCCACTCCCATCACTGGGAACTATCAAAGGATGTTTCTTTCTGTGCTAAACGTCTTCTTGTTTTCTATAATAGCAGTCTCATACATAAAAAAGAAAATACAATGCCCTTGTGTGATGCACCTATTTCATTCAGCCTAAAATCCTACAGACTCATTCATGCTGGGAGGCGTCTTGTGGGTCAGTCTCGAAGGCTGTAGTGTTCCAGTGTGTGTATGTGTCACTGTTTATTTATTCATGCAGCTAATGATGGACACTAAGGCCGTTCCCATTTGTTGTTGTGAATAATAAAATGAAAACCATGGGCACACATGTATCTGTTAATGTCATGGCTCTGTCTCTGAGACCTCCCCCCGCCCCCAGTGGAGCTCTGGGGGCGCAGTGGATTATGGGTTGGGCGGCTAATTGACGTCAGCAGGCCCAAAGCACCAGTTACTCCGTGGGGGAAAGAGCAGGCTTCCATCTTCTGTAATGAGTTCCCGTCCTGGAAACCCACAGGGGCAGTTCTGCCCTGTCCTACAGGGTCATTACGAGTCAGCATCGAATAGCCGGCAATGAGTTAAGTGATCCATACCTCGTGGTAGAACTGGTGGGTCATCTGCATCGCTATTTATACAGGACAAGTCATCCCATGCTCCCCGAGTGTTCACCATTTACAACCCTACCAGCAGCACGTGAGGGGTCCAGTCTCCCCACATCCTCGTCAGTGCTAATGGTTCTCTTTGTTGTTGTTTTCGCTTGTTGTTAGCTTCATTATTGGTGAGGGAAGATCATCACTCTCTTTTAGCGTTCATTGGGGTCTCTAACACAAGAAAAGTCTGCGGCACAAGGCCTCTTCAGTGTTGAAAAGCCAGATGTTACTTTGAGGACTGAGGTGCGTTTCACTCAAGTCACGGTCTTTCATTCGGCTCATCTACACGTAAGAGCTAGACACTGGATAAGGAGACAGATGAAGAACTGATGCGTCTGGATTGCGCTGGAGAGGAATACTGGAAGTCCAATGGACGGCCAAAAGGACAAACAAGTCTGTCTTGGAAGAAGTACGGTCAGAGTGCTCCTTAGAGGCAGTGATGGTAAGACTTTGCCTCTTGCACTTTGGCCATGTGGTCAAGAGATCTGTCCTCGGAGAAGGACATCAGGCTTGGTAATGCAGGGGGACAGCAAAAAAAAAAAAAAAAAGAATAAGGAAGGCCCCTCCGTGAGACTGACTGACAAAGGACTGGGCAGGGCTCTGTCCTATTGTGCACAGTGCTGTTGTGGCTCCGAACCAATCGATGGCGCCTAAGAACAATGCGCCCCAGTGGGAGCCCTTCAACAAGAGGGACTGACAGTGTCTGCAACAATTGTGAGGCTGGTGCAGGGCGGGGAGCTCTTTTGTTCATCATACCTAAGGGCTCCAGGAGTGGAAACGGACTGCCTGACACCTAACAACAACGACCATGGCTAAGGAGGAGGAGGTCCTTCCCTCTGCGTCAGCCACCCGCGAGGATTCTTTGTTGAAGCGGCTGCCCATTTTAAAGTGGGATTGTTTGTCTTTCATTGTGGAGGTGTTGAAGTTTCCTATTAGTTTTTGAGCTTCATCACCAGTCAGTTATGTTGTTGACAAGTCTCCCCCCACCAGGCTGTGGGTTCTATTGTTACTTTTGGGAAGAAGTCTTTAATTTTTAAGGGTTCCTAATATCTTGTGCTGTTTGTGAACTTTCAGTTATGTCTAATAGATTATTTTTTTCTATTCGCCCCTAACAGAAACAACAGTGACCTATAAATAGAAGGTAACCCCAATCAAGAATCTATCATCATCCTTTAAAGAGATGAGAAAACGAATCACCAAGTTTATATGGAAAACAAAGAGACCCTGGATAAGCAAAACACTATTAAAGGAGAAAGACAAAGCGGAAGGGAAGTCTCACACTTTCCAGTCTCAGGACATAGCACGTAGTCGTAGTAATCAAAACAGGCTCGCGGTGGTGTATGACAGACACATGGAAGCGAATTGAAAATCGAGAAGTAAATCTTTGATGATGAACCAAAATTACTTAAAGGTGGAACAGATAGTCTTTTTAACAACTGGTGGTTGCAAAAGCGGATTGCTCTATGCGGATATATGAAATGGGCTCCATAACTCATAGCGTCCCAGAAAACTAGCAAGGTGGGTGAAAGACTTTCACGGGAGCCCCAAAGTGTGAACTTCACGGAAGGCGACACAGCAACAATGTAGCCACTCTCGGAATTACGGCACAAAACACCTGCTGTGTGCTGTGAGGTGCCGTCGCGCGGTGGTTCTGACTCACGGCCACACTACGTACAACGGAACCAAACACCGTGTGGACCCGCCCCAGCCTCACAGTGTTACGCTTGAGCTCACTGGGGTAGCCACGGTGCGCTTCATCTCCTTGTGGGCCTTCCTCTTTATCGTTGCCCCTCTGCTGTACCAAGCGTTCTCGGCACAGAGGAGTGAGTGCGTACAAAAACGGTGCATGCGAAAAGTAACAAACAATCCACTGTTCTATCATTTAAAAGTACTAACTATAGATATTTATGTGTGCATCCTTCTGGATCTTATACAAATATATATATACATCCATAATTCATTTTTTTTATATCCCTCAAGGTAAGCCGAGCTTTAATTTTTTGAGTGACACTGTGTACTTCTGGGACACAATTAAATGGGATCTGATAGGAAGCTTGTTGCTTCAGCCTCCAGGGTTCAGGCCCAGCAACAGGTCTTGCATTTATAAAGGAAATGGGCGAGCTTCTGAACGTGGGAGCCGGAAGCCTCGAGCTCCAGCTCGGCCTCGCTGCAGCTCTTTCAGAATTGACCTTCTGTGCCCATTCCATGCCCTTCTCGGCCAGCTTCAGTTAATATCAAAAAATCCTCATTTGGTTTCCTTTCTACTCAACAGCCCCACCTATGTGAAAAGCCACTAAAAAGAGCGCCTTCGTCATATGAGCTATTGGCCCAGGTAACATGTGCCCAACAGATTAGCTAATGTTTTATTGACTTTATGTGATAAAAAGCTTACATCTCTTTCTTTTTTTTTTTTTGGCGGGGG